TGAATCGGGCCCTGCCGAAATCTGAATAACGGATTTGACGGGTTTCGACAAGGCTACGGCAAAATGCAAATAATAAAATGGCTTTCACGAGTATAATTTCCCGTCATGGTGAATAGTAAGAAACGCGGGGCCGTAAAAAGTTTTACGGCACTATTACCTACGTTTATTAGCATGTGTACCGTACTCCGCGCATACTTCCTCGAGCGGAGTTATGTTTAGTAAATATTCCACACTGCCGGCCGCGGATCGTTACGTTACAGAGAAACGTTTCAGCGACTTCGCAAAAATGGCCCGAGTTTTCGAGGTGCCATAACAGTGGAAAGCAACGAGTCTCGGGGATCTGAAATTACGCACGCTGGTATTTTCCAATCGACCCCATCATCGATTTCAGACTTAACCAAAACCATTCGGCACGCGTTCAACCGAATGACAATGAAATGATGCGTTTAAATCGGGGAAAAAAATTATTCTTCAGAATTACACGAACTTCGGATGTCTCCGAAGACACCCCCGCTAGAGATTCCGTATTTCCAAGGTTTCCGACATTTTTTAATCCGACCGAGGCGATACGTGCCACAATGAATAATGTATTCGCGCGATGGACTGTCAAAGCCGTATTTCAGAGGCGAAATGCGAAACGTTAGCGACAAGCGGGCAGCCATGACAGGTTTTGCGACACCAACGCCCATAACCAAGCCGGCCATTTTTCTCCCTCGCCAATTGGACGCATGTGGGTCAGCGGTTCGTCAGGAACCGTTGTGAATAATGACTCGACATGTCAGGCGCGCTAGATGCACCTATAAATATATAGGAATAATAAAATAAGCGCAAGTGAGTCGATAGTATCGCACCTCCGGCAATAAGCAGGTCGCGCGTGCTTATAAAACCGGAGACTTGAACGCCCGCAGCAGCCCTGAAGCGATGTAGAAACCGAGTGCGTGCACACTAAACCACGCTCCTCATATAATAACATATTATGCGTTGCCAGGACGCATATTACACAAATAAATCTATCCGATCTACCAGGATCTGTCCCTGTTTCGAAAAAAAAAAAAAGGAACAAAATTTCCATAAATTAACAGGTGCGGGAAAAATCCGGCACACTCTTGAAATCACATTCGCTCTATAATCCACGGAATGACCGAAGAAATTTATTCGCGAATTTTCCGAATAAAACGAAAAAGTCTCAGAATTCCGTAAACCGATCGCTATTAAAAGCGGACGCAATTGGTGCACGAGATTATCAAGAAAATCTAGGCGTGGTGTCGAGGAAATCCGATCTGCCGACGTGCAACCGGCTGTAATCACGCCTTGTAAACTGGTGTATGCTTCTCGGTGAATTGAAATATATCGGCGACCGGCTTCCCTCGAGTGGTTATTACTTCAAATGTTTAAACTGTACACGCGTCGATCATAGGTACACGGGGCAAAGTATGCACACGTACCCGGGCATGTAATTACAAAACGAGTATAACTGCTTCCCGATTACGTCACGTCGGTCGAGGTGTCGAGCGTTGGAAGGCACCGTAGCGAGATTCGAATTTTCACGATTATTAGCTATACCATTTTCCACATTTTCCTGTTGAAAAATATTGCTTTATATTTTTTTTGTAATATATATATTTTTTTTTTAATTCACTCCTATGGTTTCTGGCTACTCCGTCAAGCGAGGATCTCTTCTATGCAAGAAATCAGCATCGAACTCTCCCGTTCTCGGAGTCTCGATTTCTCCGACAAAGTATCGGCGTCACGTAGCATTATTCGACCTTATCTACGTTTATGGGATTCATAGAGTATACGTTTTATCGAGTACTGCCGACTGTCGGTAATCCGCACCTAAGGATCGCGACCTTTTGGGCTTTTTCGCGAAGCTCGGCTCGTCGCGAAAGGACGAATCGCCGAACGCTCTTCCCCGGGGAGTTCTTCTGCCCGACACCCCGTAAAGGATCGGCCAAGAATCCCCGATAACCATGGGAAATAATGCCGTTAAGGACGCGTCCATTAGCCGGAATAAGCGAGAAAGGGAGAGACATTAACACAGGCAATCCGAGTTTCCATCCAAGGCGGAGTTTCCAGCATTTCCCAGATGTCTCGAGTTTCAGAATTTTTACCCGGAAATTAAGGATCAGGGATTAACATTATACGATTTAGTGCAGACACCTGGGGTGGCCCTAAAACATGGACTCGCCTAATTCAATTATCAACCCGGGGCATCGTAATCGCATGTTTCGCGCAACACGTCGGATCGCAATTGCACTTTGCTGAAAGCAATTCCGCGAGTAGGCGCATTCGTTCTCGTGCCGTACTCTCGCGTGTAAGTGATTGCACCGGTAAGTTTCAATGATCGTGCCCGATCCCAATAATTATCCCCGAATCGCGGATTCCGCAGGAGGAAACCTCGAATCTCGTACCCGAGGATATATCCAGCCCACCCGCTCCGTTTTTACTAATTGATTTTTCGCAATTAACTCGCGACGAGCCGATTGCAGGTGATTAAATTTTAATTAGGAACCGCGGAATGGCCCACTCCGATTTTACGACTGGACGAAATCCTTCGGCATCGGGGAATCATCCACGAGGAATGCCAGTCGATGACTCTTTCGAAGCCGAGCTATAGATCACGGCGTAATATACAGGAATATCTCATAGCTATCATTATCTAAAATACCACGAGTGATTAATCCCTGCCCTTTAGACTACCGTGGCGCTGGCCGGTCGCGTCCAATGGGAAATTGGTATCGGTAAACGATTATTTACTATAGCCGTGTACCGAGTGGTGTTATTACTACACGCCAATCTATTACAGCCATCGCTGATAAATACGACTGCGAAGCTCCCGCGATCCTTCCAGTGGACGCCGGCAAGATCGAAACGCGAAATTCCAGATCCTATGCTCCGAGATTTAACGAAAGGACGGTAAAGGATCGTCTAGGAGTAAAGTTGCAAGTTGATCCGCGGAGACGAGTCATGCTACGGAAATAAGTTTGACGCAATATCGGCGCAGGCCGTTCCGATGCATCGTTCGGTGCATCCAATCGATCGATTCGACAAACTCCTGCGAACTTGATCTCCCGCTCATAATTGACCAGCCCGGTGTTGCATACTCGTTATTATCCGACTCGCGAAAAAAAAAAAAATGGACCGACCCCGTTTTTCCCGGGATTTAATCGCAATGTCAATCAACGTGCAAATACTTGACTTTAACGCAACGAACGACAAGGCAAGGATTCGCGCGCGCTGGAAATAAAAAGTTACTTGGCTGAAAAAAATATGCCACGACAAAATCCTGCGATCAAACACGTGTAAAGAAATGTCCGGAAGGGTAATAGAAAATTCTTTTAAATCGGCGATATAATTTTTCTTCCCAGGAAATAATTGTTTCTTGCAATTATATGTGATTCGGGCAATATTAGATATGTCAGGAATATACGATTGTATCGGTGAACTAATCTTTTTTTCTCAATTCAGGGCATGCTCGATCCTCTTTACGACGTAGAGCCGGGTCTTACTAGCGTCTCGAATAAAAGAGAGGTGAATTCCAAAGTGTTTGTAAACATCGAGGAGATGGTCAAGAGGGACGCTCGTCTCGCACGAATCCCGGAGCGGGATAATTCGCGGTTCTAACGTCAACGTTCCCAGGTCTTTCGGTCGGCGAATATCCGTTTCCACGGAACTGCATGATTCTTATGTTAAGTTATTCATGTATGAATAATTCAGGATTAGCATAGGAAAATGTTGGTTCATCGAGCAGTGTCAGAGTGGGCCGACGTTTCCCAACACCGGCGATAAACTTCGGGGAAACGTTTAGCCGAAAATTTCATTAAAACCGTCACAATTAACCGCGTAAAAAAAAGTGCCGTATAAATGAAGGGAGGGGTGTAATTCGCATTGTCCGTGGAGTGCGCGCAAGCGCGTCCCCACTTTTTTTTTTTTCCCACGGAACGGACAATCGGCAATGCCGCTGCCTGTTTTTCTTTCGCTATCGAAATGGCGTTTGGATCGATTCGATCATTTCAATCGACTTCGACATCCGCTTAAGCTCCCCAGTCGATAGGAGTGGTCGAGCGCGGAAAAATGGCGGGGAACGGAGATGAGAACCGGAAAGCAACGGTGCCTTTCGAAAGCGAATACGGGGGAACTGGTTGCCGACATTCTGAGAAATGCGCAAAGACGGAGATCCGCGACGAGTCATTCCGACAAAGTCGATCGGCAACGAGGAGCATTTCTTGCCGATCGATCGAGCCGAACGACAAATGTCGGATCGAGACTGGCCGCGCGCGACTTAAATCGACCGATCGAAGCGATCCATTCCGTCGATCGCTTCTTCGTCCTTTGACTTCCCGGCCGCAAAAAGGGGACAACGGGAGAGCGTCATCCGGATGGCATACGTCATACGTCAGGAAAATCACCGGGATGGATTTCGACCATTCGTACGCGGGTTTCGGAGTGATGTAAAGCCGGGTACACATTCGAACGAGAATACGTACGAAGCAAGGCGAGGAAGATCGAATGCCTCGTACTTGGATGTGTACGCGGTAACGAAGAAAATTGAGGCAACGAAGGAATATCTTGAAGAATGGCATTTAAAGAGCCTCGGATAGGGTGTCGAACGATTCGAGGCAAGTTTCTCACATTTCGATTATTTGCCACATATAATTGCCCTGCAACGTCCGCGTTCCAGCTCGCATGCGTACCTGGCCTAAGGCGGCATAAAAGGGTAATTCCATGTATATATATATATATATAAAATGTCAAAGTATAAGAATCAGATTTTCCAAATAAAATGTCTATTTTTCATTCTTGTCCAGGATAAATACATTTTCTTCGAAAATTGACATTTCGGGAATTTCAAGAAGTTAGGACTGCCATTTGGAGAAAAGTTTTGTAATTATTTTCACGTTTTGATACATATAGACAATGACCATTTCGTATCGCGTCAAGGCCGCGGGCACGCGGAGCTCCGACGTCCACGGCCTTACGTAACGCTTGCAAAGACTCACGTCGTCGGGATCGTCTTGGAGTCCGTCGTCGCCGTTTTCCTCGAGGACGAAACCCACGTCGTTATTATTTCCGGCGAGGGAAGGGAGCTTCCTGGGGCTGAGTTCGTCGCCGTCGGTGTCGCGCTTCCTTTTGGAGGCGTCCCTGGGGTCGGCAAGAGCGGCCTCGTGCTCGTCCAACATTTCCGAGACCATGAGCTCGGAAGCAACGCTGGTCGGCGAGGCGACCTCGTTCAAAGGCGACATCCTGGTCCTGTCCGTTTTGGCACTCTCGAGGATCGACATCGCTGGTCTGGACTCTTCGATCCGATGCCGTCTACCTTATCGTCCCGACTGAGTCGTTCCTATCGCCGGAACCTTCGAAATCCTCCCGCAAAGATCCGGCCCATGTAAACAAAGCGCGAAGATCGAATCTCCTTATGCGTCCTTGAAAAAATCCGCGGCTACGAGAGGAGCCCGTTCAAGGGCCACTCGGCATCGAATTTCGAGAGGCGTTTTCCCAAAGGACGCGCTCCAGGTTCCTTGGAAACGAGGGAGGGTCCATCCGTCCCCAGAGCGTGCTCGGTCTATGCGTTTGGTGACCGCCACGAGGCATTCCCCGCTTCGACGTCAGAGGGCGCCGGGTCCGCTCCTTCCTCCTTCCTCCTCCTCGCGATCCTCGTCATCCCGCACCTGCCTCTCGGCCGCGTTCCGTCGCCGCGCGGTGGCCGAGTCCTGCGCGAACCTGTCTCCTGCGGTCACGTGGGCAGGCCAGTCGCCCAGCGTCGGTTCTCAGCGACGATCCTGTCGGATTTCCCGGGGGAAGTCGGCGCCCGTCCACCGGACGTCGGCGACGGTCCGGGTCGCTCTTCCAGGAGCGTCCATCGTCGGCATTCGGGTGCGGGAATCGAGCCGGAAGAGGTGCAGAGGCGTCGCCGGATCCTGGGGGTCCTACCGGTGGTCGCGATCGGCAGGAGACCCGCGGTTCCGCATTCCCGAGGCGTCTCCTCGGGGGCGATCACTGGTCCCGGCACTTGGACGGTCCCTCGGTCACGTGGTGGCGCGCGCGCGGTCCGCCACGTGGGCCCTGGGGCCTTTCGGAAAAGTCCCGGGAAAGCCTGTTTGGCGCGCTCGCGCGCGCGCGCACTATCGGGTCGGGGAGACACGGTCGGGATACCCGCGTTGGCGCGCGCGCCCCTCGAGAATGGCCTAGAGGCGAAAAGAGGAAAGGAGCCGAGTGGCGCCGCCCGCGGCGGAGGGGGCAAATCTCCGTGCGCGAAGACCGAGAGGCCGACTGCGACGGGCCCGCTGACCGCCACCTCCGCCGGCCGGCCACCACCGCCTCGCGGGCCCGACTGGGCCTCTCCCTCTCTCCGGCGCCGTGCGCCGCGCGCCGTCTCTCTCGCGCCCGGTCTGACTCGGCCCGGCGGAAAAGGCTGCCTCGGGCGTCCTCTCTCCTCCCCTCCGCCCCGGCCGCTCTCTCTCCCTCCCGGCAGCCGAGATCTCGCCGGCCAGGAATCCTCCGAGCTCCGGACCGGAGCCGGTGGGTCTCTCCTCACCTGGATCCACCGCCGCCGCCGCGCCTCTCTCGGGCCGCGTACGTGTGCTGGGAGGAGGTGTACCGTATGTAGATGCGGAGGATTCGGCCCGTGTGTGCGGTCGAAGGGAGAGGGACGGCCGCCCCACGTTTTTTCGACCCGTCGGTGGACTACGGGCCCTCTTCGACGAATGGATCCTATCGCGTTTTTCCTCGAGGTATCGACGCATCCGATCCTGGGAAGACGCGGTTTTTCCCGGACTCCGATGATGGGGTCCTTCTTCATGGGGCTTGGTATCTACGCACGGGGCATCGAACGAGTTCACCTTCGGAGGGAACCGCGGAAGTCCCCGGTTAATTCGGGTCAAATTTACAAGGAGACGGTGCATATCCAACTATTCTAAATTCATGTTAAAAAAAATGGGAATGGAACGTCCGGTTGCCGATTAAGTGGAACAGGGGAACGGGGCATCGATCGTGGAGCGTCCTTTTTGCCGTCGGATCGCGGATCCTCGGAGAAAACGTTCCAGGACGTCTCTTCTAGTGGGATAATCCTTGAACTTTTCTCGGGAGGTTACGGCTGGTCGGCTTATCTCCCGGATCGCTCCGATCGGTTCTCGCACGTGCAGAAGAGGTTGATCAAAGTTCACGGAGACTCCGTCGAGAGTAAACCCCGAGGAAAGAGTCGGCGGTGCAATGTCACGCACCCCGGACCCCTTTCAACTTTCCAGAGGCTCGACGCGCTGATTTGCAGATTCCCTCTTCTTCGGGTCGACGCACAATGCCCGTGCCCTTCCTGACCAACGACAACCAGGGGATTCCTCCGGCAGGAACGATTGCCGCTAGGAATCTCATTATTTCCTTTGGGCCGAGCAAATGAGCGCCGTTACTTGCAACATCCTGTAACCATCCGTGGGCCCCTCAGTGTCGCGATGCAATTAATTTCCCTTTAGCGTGGATCTACCAAGTGTCCTTGGTGCGACATCCTGCGAGAAAAAGTTATCCCTCGAACCAGAGGAATATTTTGTCAATTCCAAGAATATTCAACCCAAATAAATTGTCATAATTCCGCATGAACGTTGCATCCAATTTATTCCAGTTTATTCAAGTTAAATAATTATCTCTTGAATTAATAGAATATTTCTTTGGTTCGATGACATCTTTTTCTTAAGGTAGAATTAATCCCCTAGAGTCGAGTGGATAAATCTTCCCTAGGCAAATGCGACTCCCTCGCGTCGATCGGGGTCGACGAGTACTCCCGATATATCTTTCGCGTAAGTTACGCGCACGTACGCGCGTCTCGGGTGGAATTACCCGTCAAGGCGAGGACATTCCTCCATGCGTTAACCCAAATACGCCGGGGAGCAGAGCGAGTGCGGCTCGTTAAGAAAGAATGCAATGGCCCCGGCAAAACTCGACGGCTAGAAATCAAAGTCCGGCCCAAGTGGAGTGGCCGCGGCAGGGCTCTCCCTAAGCGCGGTCATACCGTAGCGGTAAACCGCTCGAATGGATCTCCCTAAATGGGCAAACCATCCTCCCTAGCACCCGTCGACAAATCGGACGGAAGGACGCCGCCAACGGAGCCCTGGAACGACCGGCACCCGTGGCAACCGACCGGTTGGGCTTAAACGGGCCCTAGGAGATTCATTGATACTTTCGAGCCAGGGCGATGGCGCCTAGCCATCCGCCTACGGACCGAACGGTAAAGAACTCGAGAAAGCTGGGACACACCGTGGGACGAAACCAAAAGCTCGGTCACGGTCACCATCGAACCCATGGCACAGGTCGGAGGCCTTAAATCTGTGACAGTGTTTTAGTCATTACCAACGATCGTGGTCAATTTCACGATTTGGGTGGTTTCACTTGCCACGGTGTTTTAGCCATGTCGGTATAGAAATTTTTTTTTTTATTTTCGTGCGTGGATGGATGGGAAAACCTCGAAGAGATCGACCTCGCGTACCGGCCACCCTGTCGGAGTAATTAATCGTATGCGCGATAGCGCCTGGCGATGCCGGAATACACCTCGAGGCATGAATAAGGGAGGCGTCGAGTTACCGAGTACCCACCATTACGGTAGCGGTACAGAGCTCGGATGCGCTTCCCTAGATGGGCAAACCATCCCCCCCAGCGACCGTCGACAAATCAGCCGGAAGGATGCCTCCACGGAATCGCAAGAGGTTCCTGGAGTGCCGGTGACCGACCGGTTACTCTTAAACGGTTCCCCAAGGACCCTCCGCTAGGAGATTCATTGACACTCCGGAGGCTCTGCCGGCACGACGATCGATAAAGGACGCCTCCAAATTGCCCGATCGAGGATTCAAGGGACCTCCACCGAGAGACGATCGTTTCGACGGGAGCTGGACCCGGCAGAACTAGGGTCCGGATCGGCGGCCGCATGCCGGACCTTGGGCCCGGGGCTTTCACCGGAGGCTGTGGTCCAGCGGCATACCAAGACGGATCGCTCCTGCTCCTTTTTCTCCCGTTCTCGCGTTCTCGCATCCTATACCCACACACCTGTCCCCGGATCGCAGGGTGTTTTGATCGGTCCAGCGGTATAACTCGACCATCGGTCCCCCTAGCGGATGCTGGGCTGGATTCCCTTCGTCACCGAGACGGAACCTTGGACGCAAATATTCCTGGGAATTTCTCGACGAGTTCCCCCGATCGTCTCGACCGGTCCGTCCGATTTTTATTCCGGACCACCGTGCGCCAATACGGGAGCTTTGGTGGAGGATGCGGCGCGCCTAGTTATCGGCGTCGACTCGGATGTGTCGGGGTAACATTTTCGAGATTAACGGCCCCTCGATAATGCCCGGCTCCCCGGAGAAATCTTTGAGCATATTTTCACGTCTATTCTGGGGCGTCTCTGCCGGATGCAGATAGGGGACGCTGGCGCGTACAACGTGTGGCCACGTATGCGCCTCTCACAATGCTCATCCCTGATGGCGCAGCCCATCTAAGCCGCACGATACGACCCGACAGTTTGCCCTCCAACTTCTCGTGAAATATCGCGGGAAAAATGGCCGCACCTATCCGCCCATCTCCCAATAGCGGTAGTTATTAATGGACCACCGCGGAGGAGGAACTTAAAAACCGAGACCCCGCCGAGTGAATTTAACCCCGACCCCTTGATCATCTCTTAAAATCCCTTTTACACGATTTCAGGTGAATTTACGGAGAACCGTTTACACAAAGAACTACTTGTCTCGCGATCCATCATTCGGCAGGTGTGCCGCCTGGATGCTGGGATTGTCAGGCCCATTGTCCCACTGGTGATAGCGGAGCAGTATTCCCTGTACTAGCCGCTTATTCCACGGGGATATATATCAGCCTACGGGGACATTATTTCTCGTTATTTGACGTGTCTGCATTTTCGTTCCGTCACGGCCACCGGGGCGACGTTAACACTTGTCTTGTGCGTTTAAGGCGACGCGAAACACCTCGAGAAATTCAATGATTCCCTTCGTTGAATTATTTGGGACCCTCTGGGCAGAAAATGATTTTCGGAGCGACGTTTCCAGGCGAAGTGAAAAATGCATTACGCGACTCCGATACTCGGCCATTAGGGCACACGGTACCACTCGATGTACCGCGGAGGTTATCTGCGGTTTCTCGATCGAGAAATCGTACCTCCGACCACACGGTATCATATCCTCGGCAGGCACCTGTACCCGCGTACATATGCACGTTCGCACGTACCTCGGCGATGGCTCGTTATGGGCATACCTTGTACCTCGCGATCGCGGAGAAACCGCATTTTTAAAAACGCAAAAAACGAGCCCTGTTTCAACATCCAAGTGCGTTCCAGCTCGCCGTTTAAGATTAATATCCCCGGCCCCGGGAAGGAATTAATCCCCAGCCGGATTCGCTATATTGAAATATTTTCAAAATCCCCCGGGATTCTTTTCCACTTTTTTTAATTTTTTTTTCATCTACCCCAAAAGTCCGGATTTAATTCCCGCGTCGATTCCTCACTCGCGAAAGGAATAAAGTAAATAAAAAATGAGGACAATTCTTGCGTTCGAGGAAAAGGACGAGAAGACCGCGTTCGCCGTTAGCGGGCAAATAATTCGGAGGATAACGAGAGCGCACCGTCACGGCAAATCCGCCGATAAATCAGGAGTAACGATCAAGGATGCAGCAGGTTCGGCCACGCTCCAATTGGCGTTGACATCGAAAGTGAATAACTCCGCCGTTACACGGCGAGTGACCCGGCCAACAAACCGGGACGATAAGAGCAATTGTTAACTCGCCCTGGAGTGGTCGTAGGCTGCGAGCCTTAACAAAGGCCTTATCGGCGATTTACTCTTATCCGCCGGTTGGCCGAGGTGGATTTAATTTTCTCAACTGAAAAGAAACAAAAAGGAACGGCGACAATGGTCACGGTGCAGATCACGCGCAAAAGAAAAGACTGCTCAGGAAAACCACAACTGGGATTACCTTCCCAGGAGGTTATGGCAACCGGAGTAACTTATTAACGAACAAAGTATATAAAGAGGTTGCGATAAGCACGGTAAACCACCCGCCTCCCCAGGTTGTCCCAAAATGGTTACGATTGCCAATTGTGGTTTTCCTGACTATTCTTTTTTATTTCCCAGAAGAGGGCCCTTCTCGGTCCATCGTGGCCGACCGTTGACGATCGACCAGAGGAGTCGTTCCATCGGGTCCCAACGACCCGTGTCGCGTTGACGCTCATTTCCTCCGCGGACCATGACCGAACTGGTTCGCG